ATTATTTCTGGATGTGTCAGTGACAGTGTTTTTGGAAGAGATTGGCATTTAAATCAGTGGACTGACTGAGGAGGATCCACTCTCACCCAATATAGGTGGGCACCATTCAACTGGCTGAGGGCCTGGATAGAACAAGAAGGCAAAGAAAAGGCAAATTCTCTCTCTTCCAGAGCTGGGATATCCTTCTTCTTCTGCCGCTGGACATCAGAACTCCAGGTTCTCCAGCCTTTGGAATCTGGGACTTACACCAATAGACCCCAAGGTTCTCAGGCTTTTGGCCACAGACCAAAAATTCTACCCTTGGCTTGTCTGGTTCTCAGGCCTTTGGACTTGGACTGAGCTACAGTGTGGACTTCTCTGGTTCTCCAGCTTACAGGTGAACTACTGTGGGACTTCTCAGCCTCCATAATCACATGAGCCAGGAACACAAATAAATCCCCTGTTACATTGTAAGGGTTCTGTTTCTCTGCAGAAACCTAATAAACCAGTTATGCATTTTATAAAAAGCCATTGTGGGCCAGGCATGGTGGCTGACACCTGTAATCCCAGAATGTTGGGAGGCTGAGGTGGGTGGATCGCTTGAAGTCAGGAGTTCGAGACCAGCCTGGCCAACATGGTGAAACCCCATCTTTACTAAAATACAAAAAATTAGCTGGGCACAGTGGCAAGGGCCTGTAATTCCAGCTACTCAGGAGCCTGAGGCAGGGGAATCATTTGAACCAGGAGGTGGAAGTTGCAGTGAGCCGAGATTGCTCCATTGCACTCCAGGCTGGGTGACAGAGACTCCATTTTTTTCTTTTTTTTAATAAAAAAAGCAATAGTGCTGCTCAGCTCAGAAATGGTATTTTGATAGCTAGTTAATAGGATAAAAATATCAGGTGAAAAGTATAGTATGAGTAAAAAATGTTGAAATATTTCTACCTTAATAAAATGACATTATATATATTAATGTTTAAAGTATGATGAATACTTAAAATTCAAAAGAAGGTATTTTCAATGAAAATTACATACACATTCTGAAATTTCCCTTTCTTATTCTTTAAGAACTTAATTGATGTATGTATCTCCATACACTAATGTGGTTCAGGTTAATGAAGAGACTATATTTCTCCAGAAACTGTCTTAAATCCACCGCTTGTCAATGCATTTTAAGGCATGAGCATGCTTTCCTGTAATGAACTCATTCATTATTAAAAAAAAAAAATCTCTAGAAGCTTAAGGGGACCAAGGTCAGATAATTTTTAAGTTATCCATTCTATACAGGAAATAAATAACCTTCTGGAATCCATCATTTTTAAAAGTTTGAAGGGGGCGAAAATATGAGTAAATCTAAAAATGCCTTAGGTGAGTTAATGAAAGACTACAAGTGGTCTGGAGTGTGCTGCTAACTTTTCTTTTCTTTTCTTTT